AATTTTCAATGTGTCTATGCTTTGGAAGTACCATGCCGATAGGTTGCATGTGTTAGATTACAATATAGTTTAACTAGAAGAGAGCTTGGGTTATGAGGAGGAGCCAGTTGCCATAATTGATAGGCAGGTTCGCCAGTTAAGGTCTAAGAAGATTCTTGCGGTAATGGTCCAGTATAGGGGTCAACCAGTAGAGGAGGCAACTTGGGAGACCGAGGAGGACATACGGAGTAGATATCCACGCTTATTCAGCACCCCGAGTATGATTCTATACCCCTTCGAGGAGGAATGTTTGTTTAAGAGGTGGAGAATGCAATGACCCAACTGGTCGTTTTGCTTTCTAAATACCCATTCTCCTAATTAAGACTCCCTTATGTGCTCTTACTGTTTTATGATTTGCGGGAATGGTTGCCTTGGTTTTAGAAGGGTTCGGATTAAATTCGGAACACTTAGTTTCTTAATAGTGGCATAAGATGGCCAAGTTTGACTTGAGTCAATATTTTGAGTAAACAACCTCAGAACCAAGATTTGATGGTTCCAATAGGTTAGTATAATTATTTTTGACTTGGGCGTATGTTAGGATCGAGTTTCGGGTGATCCGGGAGCATTTCAGTGCTTAATGTTGAAAGTTGGTGCCTTAAAGGTTTTAGAGTTTCTTAAATTTGGTTTGGAGTAGACTTTAGTATTATCGATGTCCGTTTGGGATTTCGAGCTTGGGAATAGGTCTGTATGGTGATTTATGATTTGTACACAAAATTTGGCGTCATTCCAAGTTGTCTATGTAGAATTTGACGCGTTCAGAGCTAGTTGAAGAAGTTTGAAGTTTATAAGTTGATTAAGTTGGTTTTGGGGTATGATTCTTTTTTTTCGATGTTGTTTTATGTGTTCTGAGGATTCTAGGAGGTCCATATTATGTTTATGTACTTGTTTGTGTAGTTGGATAGGGTCCCAGGTGGCTCGGGTGAGTTATGGACCACCCAGAGCTAAGTTCAAATTTCTAACATTTGTTGTTCTAGTTTCCTTCTTCGCGAACACGGAGAAGGAGTCGCCTTCGCGGTGAAGGAAATGGGGCTAGGGACTTTTGTTCTACGCGTTTCTGATAGCAGGGTCGGGATCACAAAGATTTGAAACACTGGCCACTGCGTTCGCGATCTCCTGGTCGCATTCGCGTAGAAGGCCTGTGCCTAGGGCTGGACAAGTCGAATGCCCTTTGCATTCGCGAAGGGGGGGTCACGTTCATGTAGTTTGGCGGGGTCAGGTCTTCGCGTGCATTGTGGGCCTTCTCGCTATCACAAATTAGCTACTTAGGGGCCTTGGCGGTTTTGCCTTCGCGATTGCGCCGACAATTTCGCGATCGTGAAGAAGGAAGGCCTGGACAATGTCTTGTTTTAAAAACGGGACTTAGGCTCATTTTGTTCATTTCTCTTAACTTTTGGCCGATATTAGAGCTCTTTGGAGAGGGTTTTCCACCTATCACCTTGAGGTAAGTAATTTCTACATAATGTGAGTTTAATACATAGATTGTGGGTAGATGTTAACATGTAAATTGTGGACATTTTAGAATGTTTTTTAAAAACCTAGGTTTTGGTAAAAAATGATATTATGCCACGAAAATGATTATGGAATTTAGTAGAAATTATATATTTGTGTTCGTGAGGTTATGGATAATATTTATCTATAAAAATTTCCGAAATCTGGGCACGTGGGCCCGAGGGTGACTTTTAGGAGTTTTCCAAATTGGGTTGGGTAATTACTCTAATAGTTAAATTATAAACTTTTGAGAATATGTTGGTTAGTTTGTACGACCTTTGGCTAGTTTTGATTGCTCGGCACCGATTTGAGGCAATTAGTGTGATTTGTGAACCGGGAAGATGATTTGGAACGAGGTAAGTCTCTTGCCTAAGCTTGTAAGAGAAAATTATCATAGTAGGTGTTTTAAATTGTTATTTGCTAATAATTGTTGGTGCTACGTACGCATGATGTCACGAGAGTCCGTACGTAGCTAAAATCATGCTTGTGTCCGGGTAGACGTAGGACTTTACCGTGCAATACTTGTATTATTTGAACCCAAACTGTTAGTTTAATTACTCGAATTTATAATTGAAATTGGATAAGGGATTTTATGAGACCGAGCTTCATTACCTTGAGTTTTTGGCGGAATACTTGATTGTTAGTGGAAATTATGCCTTCTTTGAGTATTATTCTTGTGTAGTAGTTGTTGATCGGAGTTTGTAGAGTTTATTTGTTCTTGTGGATCGGGTCGAACGTCTCACAGTATATTTAGATGTATCTATGGTTCGCGTCGGTCGACCCTCGATAGTGTACACACTATTGTGTATCGGGTTGTACGACCTCGGCATAAATTGTGCATGATATTGCTAGGAGCCCAATTATACTTGATATTTCTTTCTTGACTTGCGACTTGATAATTAGTTGGTGGCTCTTACGTGTTAAAATTGGCATGTGATAATTGGAGGTTTAAAATGTATAATTGGAGGTTCGTGATGCTAGGAGGCTAAAGGGGTCTCAGTAGCTTATATTAAGGTGATTAAGGACATGTTTGATGAAGCTAAGACTCGGGTTAAGGCAGCGGGAGGATACTCGAAACCCTTTCCAGTTAGGATGGGGTTGCACCAGGGATCAACTCTTAGTCCCTTCCCATTTTCCTTGGCGGTTGACGCATTGACGAGATATATTCAAGGTGAGGTACCATGGTGTATGTTATTTGCTGATGATATAATTTTAATTGACAAGACGCAGGGGTGGTGTTAATGAGAGGTTGGAGGTTTGGAGGTAGACCCTAGAGTCTAAGGGTTTCAAGTTGAGTAGGACCATGACGGAATACATGGAGTGGAAGTTCAGTAACAGTACCGAGGAAGGGGATATGGCGGTGGCGCTTGATACGCAAGTCATACCCAAGAGAGGTAGTTTCAAGTATCTTGGATCTATAATACAAGGTAACAGGGAGATTGATGAAGATGTCACGCATCGTATTGAAACAGGATGGATGAAGTAGAGGCTCGCTTCTGGTGTCTTGTGTGATAAGCATGTGCCGATGAGACTTAAAGGTAAGTTTCACAAGGTTGTAGTTAGACCGACTATGTTGTATGGAGCAGAGTGTTGGCCGGTCTAGAACTTTCATACCCAGAAGCTAAAAGTAGCTGAGATGAGGATGTTGAGGTGGATGTGTGGGCATATCCGATTGGATAAGATTAGGAATGAAGTTATTCGGGAAAAGGTGGGAGTGGCCCCTATGGAGGATAAGACGCGGGAGGAAAGGTTGAGATGGTTCGGGAATATTAAGAGGAGAAATATAGAAGCCCCAATTAGAAGGTGTGAGTGGTTAGCCGCGGTGGGAAGCAGGAGGGGTAGAGGTAGGCCTATGAAGTCTTGGGGAGAGGTTATTAGGTGGGACATGGCACAACTGGAGCTGACTGAGGAAATGGCCCTAGACGAGAGGGTGTGAATGTCAAAGATTAGAGTAGAAGGTTAGTAGGTAGCCGAGCATTTCTCTTTGTCTTACTCAGTTCGCTAGCATTAGTGTTAGTATGTTATCTTTTATTCATAGATGGCTATTACTACCTGGAGTTTGACTGCATTCTTGGATTCAATCTTATTTTATCTTATTGTTATTCCTACTTGTTGTAATTACCTTTTCTTTTTCAGTCGTTCTCTAGCCGAGGGTCTATCGGAAATAACCTCCCTGCCCTTCCAGGGGAAGGGGTAAGGCTGCGTACATCTTACCCTCCCCAGATCCCACTCGTGGGAGACTACTGGGTTTGTTGTTGTTGCTGTTAAAAATCATTATTTATTATTTATTATTCCATTGTTACTGTTGTATTTCGTGCCTATTTATAATTCTTGCACTTTATTTACTGACCTCTAGTAAGTGTTAATATCGACCCCTCATCATATACTTCTTCGAGGTTAGACTAGATACTTACTGAGTACATATTATTTACATACTCATGCTACACTTCTGCACTAATTTTGCAGGATCTGAGGCAGGTACATCTGGTGACCAGTCAGGCGCGCATCCCCGTTACCCCGAGATCTAGTGGTGAGCTTCTTTCTATGCTCCGTTCTGTAGCACCCGGAGTCTCCTCCTTGTTGTATTTACTTTTCTTCCTATCTTACGTTAGACTGTAGTTGTAGGAGGTTTTGTATATTCTACTAGATTTCTCATGCACTTGGGACACCAGAATTTCAAAATTGCTAGTATATATTTATGGTTTATGTCTATTAATGTCGATATTTCACTATTATGTTTTATTTTATGTTTTATATCAGCGTTACTACTTATTCTTGCTTTATTTATTAAATAAAATTCATGACTTTAAATGTAATAAAATGAACAATTAAATGGATAGTTCACCGTGGGCTTGCCTAACAGCGACGTTGGGCGCCATCACGACCTATAGTGGGAATTGAGTCGTGACACCAGTATTGGAGGTAAACGATATGCATTTGTTATTGTTGATGACTACTCACGTTTTACATGGGTAGTATTTCTATCTCATAGAGATGATGTTTTTAAAAGATTTGAGATCTCTGCCAAATCACTTTTGGGCAGAAGCAGTCAGCACAGCATGCCATATTCTCAACAGATGTCTCATACGGCCTATCCTAAAGAAGACTCCATACAGACTGTGGAAAGGTAAAAGGCCAAACATAGGCTACTTTCATCTCTTTGGAAGAAAATGCTTCATTCACAATAATAGTAAGGACACTATTGGTAAGTTCGGCCCAAGAAGCGATGCAGGTATATTTCTTGGTTATTCAATTAACAATAGGTCATTTAGAGTTTATAACAAAAGTACGTTATGTGTAGAGGAACCGGTTCGTGCTACCTTTGATGATAATAACTCTATGGATGATAAAGGAATTATTGCAGGTGATGAAGATATAAATCAGGATGCATCGAAGACAAATGAATCTCAGCAACAAAAGAAATCCACTAACAACAACAATGAACTTACTAAGTAGACTAATGAATCTGTCAGCAGCCATGTTAAACCTCAGAAGGAGTCGACTACTCAACCAGTTGAAACAAGACCAAATGAATGGAGAAGTGAACCTTAATATCCACAAAAGTTCATCATAGGAAATCCAAACGGTGGAATGAAAACCATGGGAAATCTCAAGAAAAAGGCCAATATCACACTTATTTCTCAAATTGAACCAAACAAGGTTGATGAAGCATTAAAAGACTCCAGCTGGGTACAAGCCATGCAAGATGTACTTGATTAATTTGACGAAAATCAAGTGTGGAAATTAGTACCTAAGCCAGCAAATGCTACAATCGTTGGAACAAAATAGGTATTTAGAAACAAGTTGAATAAGGATGGGAAGGTAGTTAGAAATAAAGCCAGATTAGTTGCTCAAGGCTACTCACAGTAGGAATGAGTCGACTATGATGAAATATTCGCTCCGGTAGTGCGGTTAGAATCAATTCGTATATTACTTGCACATGCATCTTTGAAAGGTTTTAAACTTTTTCAAATGGATGTTAAAAGTGTTTTCTTAAATAATTTTATTGATGAGGAGGTATATGTAAAATAACCTTCTAGATTTGAGAACTCACAATTTCCTTATCATGTATATAAGTTGACCAAAGCTTTCCATAGACTCAAGCAAGCCCCTCAGGCCTGGTATGAGAGGCTGAGTTTGTTTCTAACTGATCATAGATTCACCAGAAGTAAAGTAGATACTACATTATTTAACAAAAGATCCACTGAAGGTAATCTCATTATTCAGATTTACGTTGATGATATTATTTTTGGTAGTACTAACTCTCTTTTGTGCACGGATTTCTCAAATCTCATGCATAGTGAGTTCAAAATGAGTATGATAGGAGAACTCATATTTTTTCTTGGACTTCAAATTCATCAATCAGAGAAAGGCACATTTATTTTCCAGACCAAGTACACTAAGGAATTGATTCATAAGTTCGGCATGAGCAATGCTAAAGCAATTGGAACGCCCATGAGTCCATCAACCAACCTTGATAAAGGTGAAAAAGAAAAATTAGTAGATGAAACTAAGTACCGTGGAATGATTGGATCTCTGCTATACTTAACTGTTAGTCGGCCATATATCATGTTCAGTGTGTGTAAATGTGTAAGGTTTCAATCAGCTCCTAAGGAGTCACACTTAACCGCAGTAAAGCAAATAATTCGCTATCTTATCAGAATTACCTCCCATGGACTATGGTATCCATGTTCTAAAAATTTTAAACTTGAAGATTTTCATATGCTGATCTTACAGGTGATAAAGAAGACAGGAAAAACACTAGTGAAATGTGTCAATTGCTAGGAAAAGCATTAATCTCTTGGAAAAGCAAAAAATAAGGATCAATGGCCTTGTCCACAGCCGAAGCTAAATTACATTACCATTGGACAATGTTGTGCTCAACTACTCTGGATGTCGCATCAATTGGGTGACTATGAATTATTCTTTAAACCAATTCCAATATTTTGTGACAACTCTAATGCTATATGTCTCTCGAAATATTATGTGCATCATTCTAGAGCTAAGCATATAGATATCAAGCATAATTATATTAGAGATAATATTCTTAAAGGAATGATTGAATTATTGTTTGTGAGCACTATTGATGAATTAGCAGATATTTTCACAAAGCCCTTACTTGAATACATATTTGTATTTTATGAGATTTTCTTGGCATTATTTCTATTAATTCAAAAAATTAGGACCTATGTGACATTATTCATTTTTACAGCCACATTATCTGCATGTTTCCTTGTGTGCGTGAGTACCATTAATGATGTGCCTTCTATTTTTTTTCTTTTTCACATCTTTTCACAACTTTATAGATGGAAGTCAATCATCACGTCGTATCTCTGACGCCTTTTCCTTTCTTCACTCAATCGTCAATCTTACCTCTTTTTAGTTTCTTTCCACTACCCTATTTCTCTCACAATATTTCTATCACCAAACCCTTCTCTTCATCTCAACAATGGCGAAAAATCTCAAAAACCCTTCGTCCTCAACTCGTAAAAGCGCTCGTTCCAGAAAACACCCTCGTCACAACCTCCAGATGCAGTCAATCTAGGGTCAGACCACCCTGAAGAATTTACCTCCTCTCAAGTAGAACTCTCTGATGATGCGCGTAGCCTTAATAAAAAAGCCTTAGGGAAGCGTCCGATAGAAGACAAATTTGAGTCGCTCACTCCCAAAAAGCCTAAAGCAGATCTCTCAAGTTCTCTGAAATCTGACATCAACTTCTGGGACACCCCGAATAGAGATGCCTTCATCTCCTTCAAAGACAAACCTGTAGCCCATGGCAGAGTCATTGATTTGAACGACATAAAAATCCCCAATTGCAAAGTTAAGGAACTCTTTGACTTTCAGGGGTGGAAAAATTTTCTTTCTCTGCCTCCTCCCAAGGTATATGAATCTAATATTTTATGAAAATCTCCGCTCTCTAAAACCTGACAAATTAGAGTATCTAGTTCTTGGTAAGCGCACTATTTTGTACTGTGTCTTGCTTGATTCTATCTTTCAGTGCAAATGTTCTGGATATTCTATGTTGTTTAAAAATACATCGCTCGAAGACTTTAAAATTTCTTTTGATCAAGCAAAAGGACGCATTGCTTAGTTTTGAAACTCGTATTCTAGCACATATTGTGGCAACCACTCTTCTTCCACGTACATGATCATTCTCTACCTTCTCCCAACGGAATACTTTCCTTGTTTAGTGCCTCCTAACAAAGCATAAAGCCAAATTGTCCTCCTGGGTCATCAATTTCATGATTGAAAGTGTCGATGATCCCACAAGTCTTCCCTATGGAATGGTCATTACACATCTTCTCGAAGCCCACAACATCTCTCTTTCTAACTATCTCTATGTCACTGTCTTTAAGTCCTACAACTCAGAGCTTTTGCTAGAAAGTGATATATTGTTGTGAAAGGCATTTGGATAAAGAAGTAAGAAGGTGAAGCCAAGACTGCTCCAACTGACTCAAAAGACAAGGCTTATGTTTCTCCTCCCAGTATGTGTGACCCTGATCTCATGGAAAAACTAATTGCTATCAATGACAAAATTGGCCGTCATAAAGGACTTGCTGATCTCCACTCAAACCACAATCAGAGATATTTATGGTGTATCAAAGGGGATAGGTTCTGATGTATCTAAGATAAGAGTTCAGATCCTCAGGACAGCAGACGATGCGGTAAAATCCTTCAAGAAAGTGCATGACATGATCGACGGGATATCAGTCATAGTCAATGCTTTGATCGTCTTAAGGAGTCCCTCTGCAACACCCTTACTTATTTTCTGTGTCGTTGATGAATGGTTGTTTAAGACAATTTTTGTTTTTTTTTGGACTGATTATTCAGTCATGCTGCTAAGACAATTACTTGCTTTTGCTTGCCTAACTAGTTAGTTATAACTTGCTTAGACATATTATTTGCCTATATAATATCTTTTTTTGATGCCAAAGGGGGAGAATATTAGGTAAAATTTACAGGAACACAATCCTTTTGGCTGCCAAATTGAGGTGGAGTCGACTACAACAGATGAAGAATTGATAGACATACAGGGAAGTACACTGATGCTCAGTTGAGGAGAAGTCACCTACATCAGATGAAGAGTTGACTGTCTTACATGAAAGTAAATTTAATTTATTTTGTTTCATTATTTTGTCATCATAAAAACTATAGAGATTGTTAGACTTACGTTTTAATGATGAAAAATAACATATCCATGATTGTAGGGAAACTCTAGGAGCAAAGGAAATGAATGAGCAAAGGAAAGGAAGATTGTCAAATACACGCAAAGGAATATAGGAAAGGAAGGAGTAACGGAAAATGAGAGAACAATCTTGCTATATTTGACAACCCATTTAAAGGAAGATATTAAAGGAAGGACCAAAATCAGAGGGAATCGAGATTGCTAAGAATCTGCTCGATATATCTATTAATGCACTGAAGATTCACCTATCAAATGAAGGTGGTTAACTCCCGAAATCAAGGGATCTACTTTAGATTATTCGAATGGAGAAAAGATCTGCTCAACAATGGAAAGCTCTATCAAGACCACAAGGCAAAGCCAAATTAATGAAAGCTCCATACTCATTCTTGGAAAGAATCATTCTACAATTCATTCCAAGGATCAATTCCCTTGGGTCTGTAATCTCTTCAGATCTGCCACAATCAAGAATCAAAGCAGAGCCCTCAAAATATATATACAGTGAGACGACCTAGAGAAGATCGTGCTCTTTGTTATACTCCAAACAAGCATTATAATTTTACTGCGATTTACTATGTAATCAATAGAAAGAATAAAGAGAGAAAAATATTAGTGTGGCATTGTATGAAATTACAACGAGTGTACTTAGAACCAAAACAACAATTGGTGTTTGTGATAACATCAACATACAGGTACTAAGTTTATAAGGAGCTTTGAAGAGAGAACCCTCTTGCAATCCAAGGGAACTGGAGTATGATTCACATTGAATTCAAACCAGTATGAAAATACTTGTGTCTTATACTTCTTCACTTTACATTGGTAAACTAGTCAACTACTTAGTTATAAAAACAAAATTGACAATTCACCCTCCTCTTGTACTTTCAGTTTTGTCCTTTCAGGTTGACATTAAATCTAAATATGCTTGCTCTGTCAATGAAAGACATTCTCCTCCTAGTAAGCAACTACTATGATATTTTTCTGGCTTCAATACTTGTCATAAATATTACATTTTACTAATCAAAGTATCAAGAAAAGCTAAAGATGCAAAAGGCCACAAATCCAGGAGTTTGGGAATACCTTTCGTGGGAGAGACCTTCACATTCCTATCAGCAACCAACAATGTCAAAGGTTGCTATGACTTTATTAGGCTTCGACGTTAGTGGTAAGAAGTTTTCTTTCTTTTAAACTCTTGAAAAGTTCCAATACAATCTCAGTCCAACGCTTAGCTTTTCCATTTTGAGTTAACATAATAACTTTTTATGTTCATATGACA